GGAGAGGCAGTGACTTCACCATTTTATCTGGAATTTTCAACCTGTTTCCACGTACTATGCCTGATTGACAATCAATCAATTTTAACTTTTTTTATCCGAACAATTAAGACCTAGCCTAGGCTATATGTAGCCTGTAATAATTAAGAGGTGATAGTGACAAAAAAAAATCATGTCAATTTACTCTTTGATTCGAGACTGCAAGGATGGAAATCTTAATAATTAATTAGTAGAAATCTCAACTCTTCTCAGTAAGTCCGCGTATTGTTTTGACCTGCTGTTTATTTGATTATGAAAGAATGTATATCTTTTTTTTGGAATGGCATTAAAAAGTATGTATTTAAGGGGGAAAACATTATCGTAAACATATCGACCATGCATTGAACATGCATTGATGGTATAAGAAAGGTTCTAACATTTGTTAATAGCATTGCATTAGCTTCCTGTGAGCAAATATGGCCAAATTTGCTGTCTCGTGAGCATTTAAGTTCCATGCACTGAGCAATAATGTTGTGGATGAAATTGGCACGCCATTCTGCCATTTAGTCTTAGTAAATTAGTAAATCAATCCTCTGACTGCTAATCAAGCAAAGTAATAGAGAGTTATCGTTTGCTTAACGGTGAGGATTCTGCCTCCCCTAACTGACCTTCGACGGAACATCAGGCGTACGAATGAACCCCGTCATTGCATGATAAGAAATCGCATCCTAAATATGAAATCAATTAAACAAATTATTTGGAAAAATCAGGAAAATAGCAGTCAGAAATAGAAATATCTTACCTTGCAGATGGACAGCCAGCTGCTGAACGATGGTCAAGAATAAGGATGGATTCAGACGATTTTTATCATAATTCCCTTTTCAGTAATGGTCGTGGCAGCATACAAAATTGTGGACACCATACGTGCAGTAGAGGAAATCAGCCGACATCGCAGTAACACACTAGAAAACTGTCGTTGCCGATCAAAAGTGTTACGGAGTCATTCCAGGAAACATAAAGATCAATAAATTGATGCCTATAATCATAGAATACAAAATAAAATATGTCTTTGGTAATGGTCGTGATTTAGTGGACACAAAATGATTTTTTCGTGTTTGAGTTAATTATTCTCAAAAAGACGATAGTTCGCATGGGGGAAGTTGGTTCATCAGCATAAGGAAAGTTAGTTCCTCTTCGGAGAAGCAGTACATTTGAGCAGCGCCACTCACTCAAGACCTGCCAGCCGTGGTAATGGTCGTGAGCACAGCGGACACGTCAGGCAACGACCGTTACCCGATAATTTCAGTCTGATATTGTCTTATATTCGGACTAGAAATGTTTTGTAACAAAGTAAAGTTTATTCACTGGACTGAGTGAATAACATACAGGCAAATCTACAACCCCAATTCCGAAACAGTTGGGACGAAGTGTAAATTGTGAATAAAATCAAAATGCAATGACTTTCAGATCACATGAGCCAATATGTTATTTACAATAGAATATAGATAACATTTCAAATGTTGAAACTGAGACATTTTACATTTTTATCCACAAAATAAGCTTGTTTCAAATTTTCTGGCTGCAACAGGTCTCAAAAAAGTTGGGACACAGGCAAAAAAGGGCTGAAAAAGCAATTAATATACAAGAGAATTCGCTGAAAGAACATTTAGCAAGTAATTAAGTTAATCAGCATCAGGTGTGTAACATGATTGGCTATAAAAGGGATGTCTTGGAGAGGCTGAGTCTCTCAGAAGAAAAGATGGCCAGTGGCTCTCCAACCTGTGAAGGCTAGCGTAAAGAAATTGTGGAATACTTTAAAAACAATGATCCTCAACGTCAAATTGCGAAGGCTTTGAAGGTCTCATCATCGACAGTGCATAACATCATCAAAAGAGTCAGAGAAATTGGAAAAATCTCTGTGTGTAAGGGGACAAGGCCGAAGAACTTTACTGGATGCCCGTGATCTTCGGGCCCTCAGACGCCACTGCATCACTCATCAGCATGATTCTGTCATTGACATTACTAAATGGGCTCAGTAATACTCTATCATGCAAAAAGGAAGCCATTGTTGAGCATGATCCAGAAGTGCCGCCGTGTTCTGTGGGCCAAGACTCATTTAAAATGGACTGTAGCAAAGTGGCAAAGTGTCCTGTGGTCAGACGAGTCCAAATTTGACATTCTTGTTGGAAATCATCGTGTCCTCCGGGCTAAAGAGGAGAAAGAGGCTAAGTGCCGAAGATATCACAGCCGTGATGATATTCAGCAACAACTTCAGAACCTGGAGTGTGATATTGCTTTCACACAACGGTTCTATAAACGGCACTTATTAGTTGACGGCAATAAGCGACAACAGATTATGATTTCTTTGTTTATTCAATCAGTTATGTGGCTCTGCCAGTGTAAGAAGTTCCACACATGGACCGGGACTTGACTGTTACAAACAATGTAGCGCTAAGTTTGTTGTCAGTAGTTAGTGTTATTAAAAGTTATTAAAACACCTGTGAGCGGAGTGATTTTGCTATTATATGTCCCACTGATGTTGTGCTCTATCATCAGCACTCATGGAATGCCTCTTGTCCAAATTACTCAGTCGGAACTGCTGTCTAATCAATACTATATTTGCTAAAATGAAAATTAAATGTTAGCCTTGTTGTCTATAAGCAGGTGTAAACAATTACTTCAGCTATTTAGCTCCATTTACTCCCATTCACTCAGGAATATCTCGCAAGTGCCCTCTAGGTGAATTGCAGCCAATTTCAGAACAGTGGCATTAATACAAAGAGTATAGGCTAGTTGTAGAAGGCTCTGCTGGCAGTTAGCCATTACCAATAAACATTGCTTGAATGTGCCCTGTGGCTGCCATGTTGAATCTTCGAACACAAGATCCAGTTGTAAACCCACTGTTGGCTGACACGTTAAAGCAGACAGACTAATGTAATACTGAGCTGAAGTTCAAAATATAAAGATAAACCTATGTGACAGTGGCTTCCACAGAAAATGGTTGCCTATAAAAACAGAATCAAGTTTTGCAGATTTTCCCTATTTAACTTTGGGATGGTTTAGTATGTAAAAAATGAAGAAAATTAAGTTTTTAGCAGAAATTCTGATAGGCCACGGAGTCAAGCGTGCTTATGTAGAGGAACTGCTTCTAACTGCTGGAGAGTCATCTGACCTCGCTTCCAGATGATTGCTTGGCGGGTAATATGCTGGCTTACTTAAGCTTGCCATCCTGAGAAGATGCTCTCGGCGTGCTTGCTCAACAAACTGCTCGCATTGGAAACAGATCCATCTGGTTTTCGTTATCACTGCAACCTTTTTTTTTAACAATATTCAATTTGGTTACCGCGCGTCAGCGGAGTTGATGTGGCTCTTGGTTGTTGATTGATGTCATGCTCGCATTCACTGCTCACGCTAGAAGTGCTTGGCTATGAAGGCTAGCCCACACAAAAGCTTACTTGTCTTAGAATGTAGCTTGTTGCATCAAAATATTGCCAATGTATTTGCAGAAGGAACCATATGTAATTGGTGTGTCATCTGCCAACCAAAAATGTAGAGCAGCTCATATTAATCCAGATGTAACCAATCGCTCAACTATTCCAGCTCTCGCTTAGCTCGGCAGTACCCTTATTGTCAGTGAATAAATTACCTTTATGGCAAGAATTGCGATTTGCACCAGCTATGGCGAATCGCCACACATCAATAGCTGGTCATTTCCAGGTGTTAAAAAACGTTGTTTGGATGCTTTAAAAATTCAAAAAACGTACTGAGGTATTGTCCCAAAATGAAAGCGTGGTAATTGGACCTGCATGTATTGCAAATATAAGTGTGCTGGAAAGCAAATATTTGATGGACTCTCAGCAATATTTTTACTCGTGGTTTAGTAAGCTGTAGTAATGTTACATTTTGTGAAGTTACCCAAGCTGCTAGCTACTCTCCATTTTTCTTTATATATGTCTCTTTCCCACAGTAAGGGTATATTATTAGAAAGCCCAACAAAAGCGCATCATAAACATTATTTTACTGCGTCACTATATATCGATACCATTATATCAAGTTATGTTCAAACCTGATGCCTTATTGGGTTAATGGATTACAACAAATAATTACTTTTGGCCTTCCAGCCAAGACCTAATTCACTCGGTTATAAAGAAGTATTTAGAGAAGGTAATTTCAAACTTTTGAAACAATCTCTGTTTCAAAATGTTTGTGAAGTTTCAAAATGGTGTTCATGCTAGCAATACACAGCCTGCTCGCAGAAACTTTTAATGCTGATCTTATAAATGTTTCGCACAGAAAAGCTTGGATAATAATGGATGAGGCTGAACAACACTTCACTTATCACCAGTCACAAGCTGTCTTCCCATTCGGAAAGGAAATACGTTTGAAATATATTTATTTTGGCCACAATGCATTTAAAATACATTTAGAATGAATGGGATCCCTAGAATACATTTTGAAAATGCATTTGAAGCCATGCAAAAATGTATTTCTGTCTCTAAAAATGTATTCCAACCAAAGAAGGTGTAATCAAAAATGCACTCAACCAAAAAAGTCAGTGTAATGCATTGTCAATGCAATTTTAAATAGCGATTAAAAAAATGACTAATGCATTTTACAGAAGGAGCATAATATATGCACAAATACACTTCAACTTCAATCCAGCCAGTAAATATGGTTAGATTTGACAAATAAATTAAGACAACATTGAATGATGCATTTCAGTTTATTTAGTACTTCAAGAAATGCATACTGATAGGTCAGTGCATACTATTACTGAAATAAGTGCAACCAGCATAAAATAATGCAAACACTTGCATACAATAAGATAGAATATTAATTCCTAAATACAACATCTCATTTTCATTTATCATTCTACAAAAAGCGTACCTGACCATAAAAGACCCCAATTCAGTACGCGTCTGCTTACATGGAGATAAAGATTTATGTTAGGCTTACATGTCACACTACTGACACCTTAACTGTTTCTTTTACGAACTCTGAAAGTATTTCAGGCTCTTTTCAGGGAGGGCATGGCTCAGGTGGTAGAGCAGGTAGTCTAGGAATCGGAAGGTCCCTGGTTTGATCCCTGCCTCCTCCACAGAACATGTCGCAGTGTCCGTGAGCTAGACACTGAACTCCACACTGTTCCTGATGTGCAGGTTGGCGCCTTGCATGGCAGCCTCTGCCATCAGGGTGAATGTGTGGCATAATTGTAAAGCTCTTTGTGTAATGTGACTTGAAAAGAACTGTATAAATGCAGTCTGTTTACCATTTAGGTACCACAGACTAAATATATTAGACATGTATGAAACAGTCAATTTTTACATATTTGAATATATTCTAAATTAATCTCAAATATATTTTCATCCCTATGGGAAAATACATAAAAATTGCATTTCAAATGAATTGATAATATATTTAAAATATGTTTATAAAATATATGAAGCAGCCTTTTTTTTAGGGTCATTTTGAAAAGTATATTCTAAATGTATCTCAATTGTATTTTCTTTCCGTATGGGTTTATCAAGGAATAAAATAAAAGATCATCTAAGCATTCAAGCCAACCCCTCCCATGGCGATAAGGACCTTTTTTGGGGCGGATGCTACTTGGTCTCTTGACTGAAGTTTCAAAGCTGCTTTGTAAATCTTTGTTACCAGAAATGTTGAAGTGTTCAAAACGAATCAAAGTTAAGTGTCAAAAATGCCATCACTAGAAGTATTATTTATACATTGCAGTATAATTCACAATTTCTGCTCTGGTTGCATCATTGAACGGCCTTCTTCCATACTACATCTGCAGTGCTGCATTGGGCTTCGTGTCCTACTTTCTCTTGGCGCTCATGATGGCCATACACGTCAAATGTCTATTGAGCAATGGCCTGTGTTCCAGACTCGTATTTGACTCTTTTTTCCTAAATAAAAATAAATTCTAAATGTAATTTCTCGATGATGTTGAAGAGGTTAGTTTCTCATTAACCCCTTTGCGCAGAAGCCAAATAAGGCTATTTATGCTCTACCCGATTTTAGGCTACATAATTCAAGATTTGATCTTCACAGAGAAGGGGCAAATAGCTTTAATGATACCGGACACTTGCCGCATTTAGAATTCCATTGTATTTCAGTTTCTTTTCATAATTTTCGTTCAGGTAAAAGCCACAAACACAAAAAAATCTTCATGAAAATTCAGCAATGAAATGATAAAAAAAATACTGAGAGTTGAAAAATGGCTGGGAGTTTAAACAATGCATTTCTGGGATGATAAACTCCTTGACTACAAGTGTACATCATCCCCCAGTGATGTTTTAAAAAATTATCTACTGTTTATTAGCATTGCTGCCTCACAGCAAGAAGGTTGTGGGTTCGAATCCGGCCTGGGGCCTTTCTGTGTGGAGTTTGCATGTTCTCCCCGTGTTCGCGTGGGTTTTCTCCGGTAGTCCGGTTTCCTCCCACAGTCCAAAGACATGCATATCAGGCTAATTGGAGACATTGAATTGCCCAAAGGTATGAGTGTGAGAGTGAATGGTGTGTGCACCCTGCGATGGATTGGCAAGCTATCCAGGGTGGGTCCCTGCCTTTGCCCGTAGTCAGCTGGGATAGACTCCAGCTCGCCCCGCGACCCTAGTGAGGAATAAGCGGGTATAGAAAATGAATTAATATTTAACACAAATCAGCTTCTGACTCATGAGATTTAATATGAAAGAATGATTTTCTAGCAGAATTTAGCATGAGTATCAATATAGGCGCACATGGACATCAGTAGTCACCAGTAACCTCTCCAAACCAAAAGCATGCCTTTTCTCCACGTTCAGAGTTTTGTCCATTTTTCTACGAAACCGCATTAACAATCATGAGTTCTCATTAAAATCACTGCTTTTTTATAGTCAGAACATTAACCCCGTGACAGTCAGCTTGCTATTTACAATTCCGATCATACAAGCAAAACTAGCTTGCACGTTGCGGTCATCTGCCCATTATTGCATTCTCCATTTAAAATCGCTTTGTCTCTGCCTGCTCTGAATGTCCTTTATCCTCAACTGTGACAGCTACTGTGGTAACCTAAAAGCCATAAATACAACACCACATGGTCTCTGGCTCCAAAGGCAAATCGTCATTAACCTCTGGTCTTTGGGTTATGCCTGCATCATTGGTTTTGGGTGGATTCTTGCAGCTTTCAGATTCATGAATGCTCTTTATAGTTCCAAATCATGGTATTTTTTAGGGATGTCTTTGACTCAGGATATTCATAGTCGAATCTGATTCGTCAGATTTTGCCCATAGTCGACTAATCGTCGAATCATGTTTTTTTTTTTTTTTTTAATAAATGAATACATATTTTGCATCACTGCACTTGACTCATCATGCTCCTAAAATGGCAATTCTCTGTGTCAGTTTCATTACCATCTCATCCCAATAAAAGCTCACCCTGACCTTTTTTTTTTTTGTTAATTTTATGTCATCATACGTAACATGTCTCGCTTCTCACTCGCCTTTCCTAACTGTGCAATTGCTCTCAGGGTCTTATTGACGAAATCAATAATTGGCATGGGGGTAGCGAAGCTTTTCAAAGTTGAAACTAATTTAAAACTATTTTCGGACCCTGGGCCGGCGCTTGCCTTGAAAATACGAAGGCAAAGATCCATCCCTTTATTGACAACAATTAGTCCTGGCTAGTTCTCAATGGTTTTCCTTTATTAACACATTTTCCAATTTAAGAATAATTGAGTGACAATTGAAGACACGGCTTCTCTCCCCCATGCAAACTAACCGCAACAAAATAATGGGCTACATTCAGTGCAGAGGAATAATTTAATTATAAATAGGTCTATGCACTGGCACTCAGCTCGGTAATTTTTTTCCAGTGAGAGCGGCATTTCAGAACTCTTTTGCGAATGAAGGTAATTTCGGTGACAAGTACATACACCTGTTTTTGCAGCACGGTCACGCAGCTTGCTGTAAAAAATAGACAGGTGTCCGATTGGAAAATGTAAACGGACGAAACCACGTATACTTGTCACCAGATTACCTTCATTTGCTGAAGACTTCTGAAATGCCGCTCTCGCTGGAAAAAAGTTGCGTCTCTGAGTGCCAGTGCACAGACCTAATTATAATTAAATTACTTTTCTGTACTGAATGTAGCCCATTTTTCGCTGTTAGATCGCATGGGGGAGAGAAGCCGTCTCTTCAATTACCACTTGATTATTCTTAAATTGGAAAATGTGTTAATGAAGGGAAACCATCTAGAACTAGCCAGGGCTAATTGTTGTCAATAAAAGGATGGATATTTGCCCCTGATTTTTCAGGTCTTGGACCGGCCCTGTTTGGACCTCCATGTCGCAGGAGAGACTATCCAGGCTCGCCCTTCTGTCTGTCAAAAAAGACATTGCATCCAGGCTGGATTATAAGGATTCAGTTGTTGAGTTTGCGCCTCAAAAGGCAAGGAAAGTGACCATCACCATATCAATGATTGGTGAGCGGGAATCTGATGTTTTAAAGCTATACTGCAGTAGAGCGTTTGCGACTGACTAGTATTCGAAAATATACTGCATTGTAATCAAATGTTTAACTGTCACAGGTGTCAGCGGATACTACGCCTTTGTTAATCTGAGATTTACCATAGAAATTAGTCAAAATAAACGATTGTCACCAGTGAGTGTGAGCCATTAGGTATTAGTGTTTGTTGAATTTTAATTCGTGACGCACTGTCATACTTACTTACATACATCCTGTTCTATACATAGTAAACCCCCTGCCTTGAGTTGCAAGTTGCTGGATTGTAAATCACCATTTGTGCTTAGAACCAGTCTGTTATGATTCTGATCTGTTCTGCCCATGTTCTGTTCAATGTTTTGCATTTACCTTGTTCCATGCCATGTTTTGTTTCTGTTCATTCTGTATTTTCCTGCCATAGTCCTATTCCCCAGTTAGATTCCAGTCATTGTTTTGTTTTTCACCATGCATTGCACTTTGTCTCCCCTGTCTGGTCTTGTGTTATGTGACAGCTTATCTCCCCTAGTATTGTGTGCCACGCTGTCAGGTGATTTCATGGTTTCTGGGTTTTCAATAGTTCCTTCTAATCTCGTTTGCTTCCTTCACCTTGCTTTTCTATTTTACTAACAAGTAATAACAGTTTGTTATTTTGTTAAAGTTACTAACCAAAACTAACATTGTATATAATACTAACTTACTAACGAGCACTAGGGATTGTATAGCTGCACCTTACTAATTGATTAACAAGCTCTCAGCACTCGCCCTGTTCTAGTCTCCGCCTCTTGTCTTCACTTAATCTACTTTGCTGCTTTTCAGCGGATCCTCCGCACCTGCTTAACTCTGTTCTGCCTCTCATTATCTGTGCACGTTAGAACTCCCTAACCGGAGCTGTATGTTTGTCAATAGGCTGTCTCGTGATCCCTGTCCGCGTTTTGACTTTTGCCAATTTCATGTGATTAGGTTCTCCCTCGTGTTTGCTCCCTTGTTAATTAGTCTGATCCAATTCACCTGTTACTAATCATAGCATGTGACTTCCCTTGTGTGTATTTAAGCAGTCCTCTCACAGCAGTTCCCTGTCAGAACGTTGATCAATATTTCTTTGTGCAGAGCGCCTTGTATGCCATTGAGTATTGTTTTTCTTCGACTGGTTTGTCCGACTACGATTCTTGCCATAGCCCTTCTTGTATTGTTTTGTCTTTTTGGATTTTAACCTATTTTTGTATGACCACGATTTCTGTGTTTGGATGCCCTGTGTATGACCCTTGGCTTTGTTCATCGACTACGACTTTTTGCCTACCGTCTATGTGCCTTTGCTCATCTGCCTTCCCTCGTTCTGACCCCTGCCTGTCTAGTCGACACTGTTTTTGGATTTCGTATTGTGGCTTGGCAATTATTGTGTTTTTTGGCTTTGACTCGGACCCCATTAAAGGCATACGTTTTTTGGATTTCTGTCTCTCACGAGTGGTTCCTGAACTGTACCTCACACAGTCAGTATGTCCTAGTAGAAACTGACTTTGTCTTTAGAGAGTTAAACGTAATCTTTAATGATAGTGATTTACGGAAAATTCCTCTTTGCAATTAATTGGAACAAGCTACAAAGTGTAATTTAGG